GAGCAGGGAGCCCGATGCGGGACTCGATCCCGGAACTCCAGGATCATGACCTGAGCCGAAGGCAGTCGCTTAACCAACTGAGCCACCCAGGCGTCCCGATTTTTGATTTCTATACATGCTTTTCATATTATAGCTCATTTATTTTTTACACCAACCCTTGGAGTGGTCTTGGTGTCATTATTACCCCATTTTACAGCGGAAGAAGCTGAAGCTCAGAGAAGTCAAGCAACTTGTCCAAGGGCACACAGCTGGAGAGCGGCAGAGCTGGAATTTGAACCGAGGCTTTTGGTCCTAGCATCTCCGCCTCTCTTGCTCTACTTCTCCAGGTGTTGGGTTTCTTCAAGCTGATCTGCAATTCAATCCAGTCTTAATTAGGGCCCCTAAAGGGTTCCCAGTCTCACAAGTTGATTATACAGATCATTCAGAAGAGAAAAGCTCAAGAAACCCGTGAAGCAGAGTAAGAGGATATTGACAAGCTTCCACGTAGCAGTGGCTCCACGGAGCTGTGAGAGTCGCACGTGTCGCGGGCCAGTGAACAGACAGGCACATGGATCATAGGGCAGCAGAGGTTCCAGAACCAGACCCCTGTGTAGCTGAATGGATGCAATTTCCACTTCAATAGGGAAGTGGTGACACCGGGCTATTCGTGTGTCAAAACAAAATACAAACAAGACCAGGTAAACCTCTGGCTCATATCCACGAAAATCCTACCTGGGTTAAAAATTAAACATCAACTCAAAATGGCACAAACAGTAAGGAAAATACCATCTACTTTCACGAGCCTCCCAGCAAGCCTGGCGGATCGTGCCCATGAAAGCTGGCGGCCTCCACTCCATGACTGACCCTAAACCCAGGTGAGGACGGACACCCGCCTCAGAGGAAAGAGTTGTGACCCGTCAAACATCCTGAGTGTATAAAGAGTGTGTGCACATCAGTGTGAGGCACGAGGACTCAGGAATGGGAGAAACGGGCAGATGATCGGAGCAGATGTATGGAAGGTTCTCAACCTCACCAGCAGGCAGGAAGACACTAAGTCAACCAGCGAGAGAGAGTTTTCTGCCGACAAGTAGGAAGAAATAGAACGGATTACTGACACCCCATATTGGTGAGGATGCGAGGAGACAGCCCCTGTCCAGCATGGCTGGGAGGAGGGCATATCGGCAGGAGCCCTCAGACGAGAAAGCTCGAGGAGGCATCAGAAAGCAGCTTTCACGGAGAAGTGGGCAAGGTGAGGAAAGCCACAAGGTAAAAGCAGTGACCAGGTGCTGTCTCCACGCCGAGGCCAGGAGGGGCGAGGCCCCAGAGAAAGGGGCAGAGGAGCTGGTGTGTGGCGTGGACAAACGCAACCCCACCTGACATGAGCCTACAGCGAGAGAACCGCAGGTATGAAGACCCCACCTCTCTCCCCGTCCGGGCCATGCCTGCTGGGAAGCTGCAAGGCAGAGGCCCAGCGCCGACCACCCCATGAAAAGCAGCCGCCACCCGCCTCTTACACACAGCCCTCGAGCCTCTCTTAAGAGCCACACGCTGCCACCTGTTGCGGCAGGGGCTCCTCAGCCCCAGGTTTCAGGGGAAGAAAGCACAGTTAGCCCGAGCAGCTCTGGAGAAGGCTCCCAGTGGAGGGAAGGGAAATGTTAATCTCACAAACGTGAGAGTCTCGCAAAGTCGCCTACGGGGAACATAAGCCATCGGTCTATTTGTCTTGTGGTGGTATAACTACCCCAAACCTCTCATCAAAACAAAACAGCCGGGGCGCCTGGGTGGCTCAGTCGGTTGAGCGCCTGCCTTCAGCTCAGGTCATGATCCCAGGGTCCTGGGATCCAGCCCCGCGTCGGGCTCCTGCTCAGCGGGGAGCCTGCTTCTCCCTCTCCCTCTATCTCTGTCTCTCTCTCTCTCTCAAATAAATAAATAAAATCTTAAACAAACAAACAACACCCAAAACAGAGGGAAATGGCGCAGAGGGAGAGGCCAGGCCGGCATGGGGAAGGGCACTTGCCCTTGTGTGTGATGACAGCTTTATAACAAGGACAGTGGCCCAGAGTCCCTTCCCCCACCCAGGAGCCACTCTGCACCCTCAGCTGTGGGAAGGGGGGCTGACCCCGTTTCAGGGTGACATGGGTCAATGACAAGACCAGGGACGGTGGTGGAGGGCACGTGCAAGGCAGGCTTTGCGGCTGGCACTTCCCTCTGTTTCCCACAGTGATTCGCAGAGCAGATCAGTGGCCTAGCAACTGGCCTGGGCTGGGAGCAGGGCCGCCATCAGCCCCCGTTTGGAGACACATGCTAATGTGCCTCCAGATGTTCTCCCCAAAGCCTCGTGCGTCAGACCGTTGCCAAGGGAAAGACAGGAATGCAAAGGCCTCTCTAGAGCCCAGGGGAGAAGGGAAGGCCTGTCAGGCAGGGCTGTGGGGTCCCTGGGGTGGTCAGTGGGAAGTGGCCATGGGCAGGGGCCACGGGTAAATGCTAGCCCCGCTCCAGGCTCCATCAGAGGTAAGGGGGTTGTCTTGCCAAGGCTCCCACCCACCCACCGGGGATGGAGGAAACCAGCAGGACTGGGACTCCAAACACCAGCACCCAGGCTCCAGGCCAGAAGAGGACGTGAGATTTGGTGCTCAGCGCAGCCCTTCCTGCCAGGATGGCCGTATCTGTGCTGGTGGGGCCCCGCCCAGCCTGGCCGAGCCAAGGGTCCCCTCACCCTCATCCTGTGAGGTAAGCAGATCTGTGTAGCTCAGAGACATACCTGGGGAAACCGAGCCTTGGAGGGGCTGAGCGAAGGGCCTGTATTCACCCACCCAGTGAGCAGGGCCAGAATCCGGCCCAGGCCTATCCGCCTCCAAGCCCTGTCTCTCCATTGCCCTTCCCCACGGCAGTGTGGAGCTTGGCTGTATGGCCACCCCCAGATCTGCATCCTCAGGTCCAAGTTCTGGATGAGCCCAGGCTGCGGGCCAAGCCCCGGAGCAGGCCTGGAGGAGGCAGCGGCAGACCCATTAGAACATCAGTTCTGAGAGGGCAGGGCTGGACCTGGGGAGGGATGGTGGGCCGGGCCAGCACGGAGAGCTAAGTTTGCCCCCCATCCAGGGGACAACGGGGAGCAGTCTGGTAGCTCCTGCAGCACAAGGGCCCGGGGCAAGTGTAGGGCGAACTCAGAGGGTTGGAAGCTCTGCTGAGGGGTCTTGTGCTGGTCCAAGAGTCCCCAGGGCTGATGGGCTCAGACGGGCTCTGCCCTTTCTTCCGGGGAGGCCCTGGGACGGGGACGGGGGGCTCTGGGCAGGAGTTACCACTGAGTTGCTCATGACCTCTGTAGCCCAGCCGGTCACTTGCACTTCCTCATCGGTCCAATGGGAACAATCACAGTGGCCAGTGGTCTCCAGTGGGGGCGTGAGGAGCAGAAGGAGGCTGTGCTTCTGGCCACCCCTTGTCGGGGCTGCAGAAAACCCAGGACCAGCACAGAGCCTCCGGCGAATGCCTTCCCACCAAGGCTGACGCTGGGAGACAATGGAGAATGGAAAAGACAAAGCTCTGTCCTCACGGCTCTTCCAGCCCAGAGCAGACGGGCAGAGGATGAGGCAGCCCACGGATGAGACATGCCCGAGAATTAGGACCACGAACAACGTGCATGCGTGCTGGATGGAGAGGGACGGTGGGTGGGTGGGGGGGAGAATGAGGATGAAACTCACCCTCCATGCTTCTTTGGGGGGCTTACGAGAGGGCCGTGTTACTATAGGGAGACCCTAGCTGAGGCTCTTGAGCCACCCCAGGCCACCCAGATGTGGGGGTGGGAGCAGCAAGGCCAGGGCAGGAGGGAGCCTCGGCATCCCACACCTCACCCTGCACCCTTTGACCGTGGAGCACAGGGCTCGTCCTTGTCCTTGGTCTGCCGTGCTCATTCTGCTTCCCCACTCCTAACCCCACTGTTCCCCCTTCCTCTCCTCCCACACCCTCCCTCCTCCTGGCCCCCAATCCAAATCTGCCACCGTCAGCCAGGGCGGCAGGGTCTGAAAGGACAGCAATGGCCAAGCCCTTGTTTTCGATCTTTGTGCCCCGGAGAAGGTCATGTGCTATAGGGCCCTGGGTGGCGTGACTGCATGTGACCCCCTTCCTGCGGGAAGACCCTGCTCTCTCCCGGGGGCAGTGACAGGGTCCCACCTCACACGACACCGTACTGGTATGTGTGATGTCTGCCGTGTCACATCAACCTTCACCCTTCTGTTCAAATGAACAGCATTCTGCATCCTCCACAAGCCTGTGCTAACAGAAGCAGACAGGTTATGGGGAGATCGCTTTAATTTTAGGATCCCACAGTCCAAATAGTCAAGGTCTTATTTTTATCTCCTGTATTTCAGCAGGATAGACTCAGGGCTGCACGGCAGCATAGGACGTGCTCAGTGCAGACTTCGGAGTCAGACGGGCAGGGGGTGGGAGGTGGGGGTGGCCACGGCGTGGCCTAGTGCCGGCCATTCACCTTCTCCGAGGCTCGGGTCCTTTAGTGCCAGACAAGTCCTTGTCTTCCAGGGCTGTCGGGACAGCCACGTGCTGGTAAGCTCACCACAGATGCCAGTTACCTATAGTACCGTCCTGGGTCCGGCTCCACTCAACCCAGGGAACCCTGTCTCCTCAGCCCTTGGAAACCTCGCCCACTCCGAGCTCCCCGACGCCAGGGCCTCCAGCTCGGTCTCTGCACCCACAGTGTGTGGCACGTGAATGAATGAACGAGTCCATGCACGCACTGCCTGGATTTGCTCAAGCTGTGGAGAGTGGGCTGGCTGGGAAGCGAAGATGAGATCACCAGAGCTCTTGTTAATGCTTCTCTGGAGAAACATTCCCAGAAATGGAGGAGATGGAAGAATCTTCCGTAGCCCCCGCCTCACGCCCCACCCTTGGCAGGACTTATCACGATGAACTGTGATTCACCCAAGGAGCCCCGAGGGACCTTTGCCTGATCCGCGGCACCTCGCTCAGCGTCACCTCATCCTCATCCATCATCCTCGAAGATTCCTAAAGAATGAGCATATCAAGCTTTGCTGTCACAACGTTGTAAAATGTTGCAGTAATTGAAAACCATCAGTAATTTCTGTTCAAACAGACGAGGCTGTCTTTTCAAACCAGAGCAATGGAAACACTGCGCACACCACGTGTGCCCGAGCACCCACAGGCACCCCCAGCCCGCCCACTCCCGTCCCTCTGCACGCTCAGTCTCTAACCCTCTCGTTCTTGCTCTCTCCTGCATGCTTCGATGCCTTGTTATTCTCCCAGTCACGTCCAAAAGACACCCAATCCAAAGCCCTTGATCTGGAATGTGAGTGCACTCTGCCTAGCCAAAATCACAAAATAATGGCAATGTCATGGCATTGCTCATCTCTCAAAAAAAAAAAAAAATCTAGGGGCGCCTGGGCGGCTCAGTCGTTGAGTGTCTGCCTTCAGCTCGCGTCATGATCCCAGGGTCCTGGGATCGAGCCCCGCATTGAGCCCCGCATCGAGCCCCGCATCGGCCTCCCTGCTCTGTGGGGAGCCTGCTTCTCCCTCTCCCACTCCCCCTGCTTGTGTTCCCTCTCTCACTGTGTCTCTCTCTGTCAAATAAATAAATAAAATCTTTAAAATATATATATATATTCTCTAAATGGGTTTGACCTGGATGGATATTTTGGAATTGGGTAGACACAGTTTCAGTGACATAAGTGGATCCACAGAGCCCATTTGATTAACGGCAAAACCCCTCAGGAGTGCAGACCGGGGCAAAGAAAACGATTCAAAGACCAAACAAAGGTTAATTTAGTAATTACCTGAAGGTCCTGGCAATTTCCAGAAGTACATGCTGGTGGAAACAGCAACCACTTGGGTCATTTGGCCCAGTGCCCATTCAGGGAAAGAAGAACTTGGAAGACTCCACATGGGGCCCCCGTTTGGTGGCCTAAGAACCACCAGGCAGCTGAAATGGGGGCCAGGCAGTGGGACGCCCACGCTGAGCTGCCATGAGCCGCCCCTTCTGAAACCTCAGGGACTTCCTGGACCAGAGGGGTCCCCCGGGGGCCAGCTCAGCCAGCTCGTCTGCTATGAGTGGACAGCAAGCTGCTGCTTGGACACGTCTAGGGATGGTGAACTCACTCCCTATTGAGGGTTCCCAGAAAGGGAATTGGAAAGGCTCTGGGTCATTATTCTTCATATCCTGGCCGAATCTTCACTCCTCACGCACTTGGCTCCTCTGCCGTTCAGCCGGATGAGACTCAGGTCAGAAGCAGCAGCTGGGTGCATACCCTTTGCCTCCAAGAATGTGATTCCCTCCGTCCAAATTGATATGTGACTATCTTCAGTGGGCGGCTATGATCAGAAGGTCCAGGCGCCTGCAGTCACCGGCATAATTTATTCCTATGCATCAAGTCAGGGAGTACATATTGAACATATACTTTTATGGAGCCCCAGAGAGAAATGGACATTGGTCATCACAGCCCCTCCCCTACAAGCTATCCACCCTGGCCCCGAAGAAAATGGATGGATATGAAGGTCCTATCTTTAGCGCACAGGGCTGATCTTACAAAAGCCCCATTTGCCCCCAGTGGAAAAGAAACCCTTGTAAACCGCCACACATGTTCGAACGTGTTGGGGCTTTTTCAACCAACTCGGCCATCTGTTGGATCTGAGTGATATCCATGAACTTCTGTGCTGGGGAAAGATGCTGGTGATGGGGCCATAGTAAGCCACCATAAACTGAAGTTACCATGTAACTGAGAGCATATGGTAGTGGAAGGAACACTGGGGGGGAGGGGGGCGGGGTAGTACCGAGCCGTGCCTCCAGGACTGTTTTTGGCCAACCTGAAAGAACTATGTGTAGTTCAAATCCTTTTTGCACCAGCACCAGGAGAACTTGCTATTTAAGGAAATCTGACGGCAAATCGTTTCTATAAAGTCGGACCAGTGACTGCTCACTTTCCCCCCATTTGTTTTTTTGGAAATGGGGTTTTTGCTTAAAACCAGACCATGGTTTGGTCACACGGAGAGTTGAGTTTGGTGGTGACCATGGAGCATCGTTCTCCAAATGAAATCCGTTCAGTGCAGCAACCCCCTTGTCACTCATGTGACCAGTGGTAAGCTATTTCATGCCTTGGTTACCATCGGTAAAGTGAGAGTAAGAAGGGTATCTACTCTATATGTTGTATTATCAGTCCTGGATTAAGTAAAATGGGCTCCGATTGCATCAGCACAAGCCCCAGGAGCCCACCTCTGCAGAGCATGGGAAAGAAATCAGTGCTTCACAGGGTCAGGAGCTCTGGAGGTCTGCAGCCACCCAGACCACAGCTGGGGAATTCTGCAGCATGTGAATGAAGAGCAGGCGTGGGAAGAAGTGGAAGGGCATTGGAGCTGGTTGGTAAAAAGGATTTGGCAGTGATGCTCCTTTTAAAATTCTTGGCACACATTTGCCAGAATCTAAGCAGTCCTGAAATTAAAAAAAAAAAAAAAGTGGCTCACTTGTCATAATGGGAATTTTGATGGAAAATGTCAATTTAAAGGATTTCTAAGCTGACTCCTAGGGCACCGAATGGCTGGCTGGTTTGCATCTCTCGAGCCCTCCCCCTCCTCCTTATATGGAATTTCTATTAATGTTCCCGTATTTTTTCGTAGGTTGGGGAGAACATCAAAAATCTAGAAGGAGGGTGTAAGGAGCACGTGTTTGGGATTTCGTCTAGCCCAGCTCTCTTTAGTCTCTGATCTTCGCTGCAAAGTGAGGGCAATACCAGTGTCTATCTCACTGGATTGTTGAGAAAATTTAAACGAGAGAGTGCAGGCAACGTGTTTAGCCTTGTGTCTGGGACATATTGAGCACATAATGAGTGATGTTTATCATGAAATAAGTGTCTGGTGGAAGCAGGTACTGCGCACAGTTAATTAGCGAATCAAGCACCGCCACTGATCTCTTAGGAAATGAGGCAGGTGACGTTTAATTATCCCGCTTGGAAGGGACAGAGGTACTCACCGGGGCAGGCACCAGCTCTTTCCATTAGTTAAGAGAAATGAGGTACCTGCCCGGTTTGCTATAAGGAAATTCTCCAGGGTCAAAATGGCTTGAACAGCTTTGGGAAATCGGTCAGTGACCATGCCTAGGGGACCTGACAGGGCGAGGTGGCAAGCTGGCTGTGTGTTGGTCTGTAAGAACTCACCCTCTCGGTCCTGTGGTGTGACTGAGCAAGTTGCTTACCCTTCTCTCCTCAGCCCGTCTATAAGGTGGGAATGAACTCCAAGCAGGTCATCTGATCTCCTCTACATGTCCTCAGTATTCTCGTCTCTAGAATGGGAGTGAAGTAACAGGTTCTTCTTACCAGGATATAGCTTCTTATAAAGAACTTAAGAGTTGGGGCACCTGGGTGGCTCAGTCCATTAAGCGTCTGCCTTCGGCTCAGCTCATGATCCCAGGGTCCTGGGATCAAGCCCCACATCGAGCCCCACATCGGGCTCCTGGCTCAGCAGGGAGCCTGTTTCTCCTTCTCCCTCTGCCTCTCTCCCTGCTCATGCTCTCTCTCTGTCTCTGTATCTCTGTGTCTCAAATGAATAAATAAGATCTTTAAAAAAAAAAAAAGAACTTAAGAGTCAAACAAGCAAACATTCATATTATGCTTTCAATGTGCTAGGCATGGTTCTTAATGCTTTACATACTCTAACTAATGTTTCATTCCAGACCTCTGTCAGCTCGGGGGCCCTGTGGCTTCAGCCTCCTCTTGAGTATCTATCTGCAGGAACAGAGGTCACTCACTGCCTCTTGGAGCACTCCTTTCGGGTGGAGGGACCTTATGTCAGGAAGCAACTAGCCCCATCTGTTCTCCTTCAACGTGCAACCATTGGTCCTAACTCTGTGCTTTGTGGTCCCAAGGAAGAAGTCTGCTCCCTTCCCTATGGATGCCCTCAGAGATCCAAAGGCAGCTAGCAGGCCCCAACCCCCCGCCAGCCCAGGGCGGGACAAGCACTGCCCTTTCTCTCCCTGGCTGGTGGTTGCTCACCAGAAATGGAAACAAACCATGAAACAGGCCAGAGTTTGCTGAGCACTCATTGTGTGCCAAGCCCCTGGACGTCCCTGCCCTGAATTCTCAGACCAACCTTACAGGCACCTCTGCGACCCATTTCAAAGATGAGAACCAGAAAGAGACTCCCCCACCCCCAGCTCCGGGGAAGGAACTTGCCCCAAGGTCGTACTGTGGGTAAGCACCAGCAGCTTCAGCCTGACTCCCAATCCCAACGCTGTGGAAACGGGGAGCGCCGGAAAGCAGGAGAAGAGCAACGGGAGCCCCCGCAGGGCGCGGGGCGGGGGCGGGGGTGCCCCCCAAGGCCGGAGGG